ACACATCAGACAAAACACAAGATGTAAGAAGAATACAAATTCTTCAAGATCTTCACATAAAAGTCGAGTCCACCATAAATACTCAAATAACGAAACTATTCACCCTACCCACGAGTGAGAGCAAAACTGGAATGTGAAGATGCCAATGATGACGCCAATGCCCAAAAGGCCATGCCCACTTCACCTGACCCATCTTCGTAAGGTATAAATTATTGACATATGCCTCTTACCTCACGGGCTCACCATACCTGTGCTACATGGACACTTCGTTCTGAGTAGCTAAATCTGAAACAACAACAACCTCTTACCTCTACTCCTCACCCTTCACCTATTTTCATGTCCCTGACCGTCTGGTCGACGACCAGGCCGCAGGGACGCTTAGCCCCCGGAGGCACCTCAAGGTAACCTCCCAACAGTACAAATCCTGTATGTTCTCTCTCTGGTCTTCTTACTTGAGAATGAACCTTGTAGGTTCAAAACATTGTGTAAATTTCTAAAAAGTGTATGATCGAATTTTGCCTACCCTGCAAGAATGCACTACTTGGCCTACTAGGCAAGGCCCAATTTGCCTAATAGGCAATGATTTGTTATTTTCAAAACATGATTTTAATTGTTTCATTTGAATTAATATTATTTTATTAAGAACATGAATTACTGACTTAGTTGTGATAGGTCGGGTTGTGATAGGTTTGATCGTACTTATTTCTATATTAGTTTTAACTCAAAATTAAAAAAACCTAATCATATATAATGGAAAGCTTTATCATTTCATTAGAAAAAATGTATAGAAATATATACTATACAGTGGAACATTAGTTGACAACTGCCCTAGAACACAAATTTTTTGGTTGATAACGTCAAATGTGTAGCAAAATTTGAATTTGTGTAAGACGGTTTACTTGAAAGACGACGTCTGTTCGTACGCGTATGGGTCGAACGAGTGCATGATGCTGGAGGTGCGGGGCAAGGCACTTTCGGTTTGTTTACAAGTCTATTCCGCATAATGACGACCACAGTCGCGCATGAATTCTTTGTGAGAAATGTCATTGTTTGCCTGTTTTTTTTGCTTTTTTAACATAAAAGTTCGTATTATATATCATGCTATGGGTCCCAAGAAAGTCAGTGGTAAAGTTCAACCCAAGAAAATAGTTGTGAGGATGACAACAGAGGAAAAACAATATATAGTGAGAATGTGATGTTTCACTATAGACAAGTGTTAAAACGTAGAGAAAACAAGTATCTATAGACAGACTCTTAGTAAGATAAGCAAGCAGTGAGCCACAACCAGGTCCTGGTGGTATGCCTACAAAACGTAGGAAAGAGAGTACCCCAGAAATGTCATCACTGCTGTCATAATAGAAGGGGGCTCGCCTTCTAAACACTAACACCTCTCCTCCTCACCGTCTTCCATACACCAACAAGAGTCCTCATTCAAGGTAAGATATACATACATTACTGTATTGTAGCTAGTACAAAATGAGTGTTATTCGGTATAAAATGTATTTTTAAGTTAATATTTTTGGGGTGTGGAACAAATTAATTCAATTTACATTATTTCTTAAGGGAAAATTCATTTTGGTTGCCTAATTTTTGGTTGATGATGGGCTCTGGGAGCAGATTACGATCGTAAACGAAGATACCACTGTACTGTATTTATCTTTAAGAAAACTCGGCTTATTAGGCAAACTGGGCCTTGCATAGTCGGCCAAGTAGTGCAGTCTGGCTATTAGGTACAACATGTAATTGTACATGTACAGTACAACATGGTTGTACTGTACTATATGTGCAGTACAACCTCGATTCAACAGACTATATGGGACCAACCCCAATTTGTTGCAACTGGAGATTACTTCACAAGATCCGTTTTTGCGAACGAAAACTGGAAAATCTCAAATGAAAACGAACCATAGAATTTGGTTTTAACACTTTCCTGGATTTTCCACTTGGAATTACGGGCGTTTTGCTTAACCGCTTGTCGGATCACGACGTAAATTTACGGACCATGTTATAGTGGGTATTTACTACTCGATCGACTGGGGGTTTGTATGAATATGTTTGCCATTAAATTTTTGTTTTCTCTAATAGGCACAGTGCCTATTTGAGAAAACGGCAATGTATTGTAACTTAGAGGAGAGACTATTGAGTTGGTGACACAACGAGGGTAATCGCCCACTCCACACACTCTTGTGTTGGCCGCGATCATGATTCTACATTTATATGCATATGTCTGTGTAGAGAATTTTATTCCGAACACTATACAAACAAAAAAAACGGTGTGAAACAAGTATAAACTTGAAAAAACATGAGCAAAGTAAAAACTTTTTACGCTCACGGGTACAAACACGCGTAAGATTTTATTCGCCGCAAATTTATTTGACGCTCTGTTGGCCAATTCTACTCATGTTCTTATAGAACTTTCTATTGTTATATATAAAACTTTCTATTGCGAACACATTGCTATAAAAATGAAATATGTAGCTCGAGAAATAATGTCAGGACAGTAAAATAAGTATAAACTTTCAAAGCGCTGCATCACAACAGTGTCGTCGCTGCTGAAATCACGGCTAACGCTTCGCCCACTTCCCACACTCGTGCGGAACATAATTAGACATTGATAGGCATATGTCTGGGTGGGGAATTTTATTGCGAGTTCAGTGATATCAAAATAAGCGCTGTAGGATGACTGAGGCTGGCAACAAACGAAAGAGTATGAACATTTACTTCCTGTTTGGGTGTCACGGCGAGTCATCTTCGTGTTTATTTACTTCGTGGTGGGATAGCAAATGCTTGGGTGACATTTTATGCATATGATCTTGTAGAGAATTTTATTGCCAACGCATTGATACCAAAATGAAAAACGTAGCTCGAGAATTGATGTTAGGAGCGTGAAAAGATTATAAACTTTTTTGTGTTTACGCTCGAGCGCCCAGAACGCCGCGCGCACAAGGCGCTTTTTTTTTCAGCGAGTGCCGCGCGCACTAAAGTGTTAAATGTGCTAAATGGCTTCCCCAGGGCCCCCAACTCTTTTTAAAAGGTATACCCATCTACAAAATTCATTAAAAACCTGATTGGAGCTATATTAACAGTTACCATTAATACCCAACTGTTTCCCACGCTCTATGGGCTGATTTCAGTGAGTGAAATTTTAATTTCAACCTGTTATATCAAGGGCAACTACCAAGAGCACCTATCTGTGCTTGTATAATATTTTAATCACATCTAGCATATTTCCCTTGCCTCGAAACCTCCTTTTCAGAGAGAACAGCGCGCCCATATTTGTGAACAAAAATCAGGAAATCTCAAAATGAAAATGAATCAGAATTTTGTTTTAAAGGTGCTCAATCACTTTCCCAAGGCCCCAACTCTTTCTTCTACTGCTGCACCCATCTACGAAAATCATTAAGAAACAATTAGAGCAATATTAACAGTTACCATTCATACTTTATGGGCTAATTTCAGTAAAGAGATCTTTAATTTTTAGCCTATTAATATGATAGGCAAATTTTCTACCAGTCTGTGAACTCTGTCCCAACACCCTAAGCAAATCCGCACATCGCCCATTTCAGTGAACAAGAGTTTGTGGAACTGGGTGAGTAAATCCAGCTTGGAAAGTGTGCGTGCCAACCGGAGATTCACCGTTGTACCTACTTCCCCTACTATACAAGGCCCAATTTGCCTAAGCCAAGTTTTTCTGAAGTTATATATTTTTCTAATTTTTTTCTTATGATATGATAAAGTTTTCCATTACATTACATATATGAGTTAGTTTTAACTAAAAAAAAAATGAACGTAGAAATATGATCAAACCTAACCTATGATAACTTAACCTGAACTAATATAACTAAGTCAGAAATTCATGTTCTTAATATATTAATATTAATTCAAATAAACCAATTGGAAACAACTTTTTTTTTAAATAATGAAAATCTCACTGCCTACTAGGCCTTGTATACTAGGCCAAGTAGTGCATTCTGTTATTAGGTACGACATACATAACACACACACACACACACACACACACAGTGTATATACACTTACACACACACACATTATTTTATTTATATATATATAAAGCTAATGGTTTTCCTTAATTTATTTCATATTTGGACTGTATATTTGCGTTGTAACTATCATGAACCAGTACTGCTCAAATTATATAAATTTGCATTGTATTTTGAACATATGATTTAGTACTTACGTGGGCATTTTGTGAACCAGTAAAAAAATTTCAGGTATGTAAATTAATCCAATAAGGGGTTTAAACCCCGAGTGAAAATATTAACATTTCCACAGTGACCTGAAATGTCGCAAATCAATCTGAACCTGCTGTGGCAAACTCGCACACAGAATAGTGTAGAACTTGAGTGGCATGCGAGCAACAAAATTAACTTAATTATTTTAGACTGTTTTCAAGCCCAGCTATAAGTAAAATACAGCAGAAAAGTCATTTATCATGAACAGAACAAATTAAAGATGTATATAAACTTCCCGTAGTAAATAGGTTTCATTGAAACTACTGAGACACACTATCTACACAAAGTTGGCTTTTCTACATCAAATTTTCAGAAAAGAAATGAGAATAATACTGGAAAGCAGAATAGCTTATGTAGTTCCTCTTTAGTTTGAAGAGGTCATTAGGAAACTATCATACAAAGAACTGATCAAACAAATTTCTACAAATTACGAAGTACTCTACAGAATATTTTTAGTTCATAAATCATATACATGCACCAGCAATTAATAAATTTTGACAAATTATTTCCAGAACTGCAGCAAAATTTGGCTACCTTATTCAAATAACATTTGCAAGTAATTTAAGTCAGTTCCAGTTCTACTGTAATTTCTCCATAAAATGACTGCCTTATACTTGTAATAAGCATAGCCTTCTGGCCTTGTCTAAGACACAACAAGCAGACAACAGCCATACAATGAGGACAGATCAAGCTGGTAAGCAAATAGAGCCCCAAATATGGCTTAAAGTGAGAGTACTGGCAACTTACAGCAAATGGGAAGTGGGACTCGGGTATGAGAGCTTTGGGAGATCTGAGATCAAGTAGAGGAGGATAACCACTCATCTGTAATATTAATGTCAGAAAAGTGTTGCCAGATGCCATCAAAAGTATACAATATAATTATTAAAACCACCACAAGTGGTACCAAGCTGAAAATTGACACAGTACAGTACATGACATTACTCAGTATATGACATTGCTCTAAAGCATGTTTAACATATAACTTTTTACGTGATATGAGAAATTGACACAACCCACCTATCTTTCCACCAATTGGTTAGAAGGCTGGAACTTATTTAACATGTGATAAAAAAAAACTGACTTGAATGCACAATTTTGGTAAATTCTGTTAATTTACTTAAATACTGAAAAAACACCCTATATAAATAGCTTTTATAAATTCATGAATTGTCTATTTACAATACTAGGATGGAAATATAACACACACAAAAATTAAGGTTTCTCTTTATAGAAAATTAGCAAAGGCAAATAAAAATTCATGGGGTTGTGATTCAAGAAGAGACTATCAGTCACATCCCCTGGTGTTGGGGCATGGGTAATGTCTGCATAGTGCATTCCCTGGTGTTGGGGCATGGGTAATGTCTGCATAGTGTATTCCCTGGTGTTGGGGCATGGGTAATGTCTGCATAGTGCATTCCCTGGTGTTGGGGCATGGGTAATGTCTGCATAGTGCATTCCCTGGTGTTGGGGCATGGGTAATGTCTGCATAGTGTATTCCCTGGTGTTGGGGCATGGGTAATGTCTGCATAGTGTATTCCCTGGTGTTGGGGCATGGGTAATGTCTGCATAGTGTATTCCCTGGTGTTGGGGCATGGGTATTGTCTGCATAGTGCATTCCCTGGTGTTGGGGCATGGGTAATGTCTGCATAGTGTATTCCCTGGTGTTGGGGCATGGGTAATGTCTGCATAGTGTATTCCCTGGTGTTGGGGGCATGGGTATTGTCTGCATAGTGTATTCCCTGGTGATGGGGCATGGGTATTGTCTGCATAGTGTATTCCCTGGTGTTGGGGCATGGGTATTGTATGCATAGTGTATTCCCTGGTGTTGGGGCATGGGTATTGTCTGCATAGTGTATTCCCTGGTGTTGGGGAATGGGTATTGTCTGCATAGTGCATTCCCTGGTGTTGGGGCATGGGTAATGTCTGCATAGTGTATTCCCTGGTGTTGGGGGCATGGGTATTGTCTGCATAGTGTATTCCCTGGTGATGGGGCATGGGTATTGTCTGCATAGTGTATTCCCTGGTGTTGGGGCATGGGTATTGTATGCATAGTGTATTCCCTGGTGTTGGGGCATGGGTATTGTATGCATAGTGTATTCCCTGGTGTTGGGGCATGGGTATAGTCTCTCTAGTACATCCAAATATTGTACATTTTTCCTGTAAGTTAAAGTGTTTACTGTATGGATATTGTGTATTTAGCACATCTGCTTGTGTTGAGACATGGGTATAGTCAACTCACAACATCCCCTGACACTGAAGCATGATTATAGACTATCCCCACATTTCCCAATGTTCTGGCATGATAACAGACTATCCACAAAATCACTGTGATGTTGGGAATGATTACAGACTATCCATAACATTCCCCCAAGCATCATGGTGTGAACAATGTTTGGGGACTTAAGCTTATTCTTGTCATTACGTTGTACAGAGATGAAACCCTTCCCTCCCTGGCATGGAAGAATTAAATAGCTTCTACACCCATCATCATGGGCACTGTCTCCTCCTTCGATGAAAATTTTACCTGTTATATGCACCAACCAACTATGGCCAATCTGACTCATCCTTTTATCTCAAGCATATAATCAGAGGTATATGAAGCAAATAATTTTCTATAACATTCAAGCTATTTGTTTTCAATCATTAATTTACTGAAATTAATATCCACTAAGCAAATGGGGTAGAATTATTTAGCAGCAGGACACGATGCTTCAAAACTGCAGAATACATGTTAGACAATAATTATTACCAAAGGATCATGTGCAAAAAAAATTTGAGGCGAGTCAGCTGGTGTACAAAATATTTTTAATTTAGGCCTGTAATATTAGAACTCGCCAAAAACTTTCATAAGTAACGGTGAGGCTGCAGACCCAGCCAACACAATGCAGCACATCACACAGTATAGTACAGTACTGTACAAGGCGTGCGAATACCAAATTTACACAAAGCAATAGGTTAATTATCACCCTCCAAGTCAAAATGAGTTTTCATAATGGCCATCACGAGAAGAGGGGGGGATGGGAAGTGCCAGCTATACAAAAAATATATAGCAAAGTGAATAATGCAAGCACAAACGTTTCAAGTTTGAAGCAAATTCATAAAGGCCGTCTCAAAAAGTCCAGATTCATTGGTAATCAAAATATTTAAAATGAAATAAATAAATTAAGCAAAACTTCTAGTCAATACACAAAACTGCATTATCTTCATAATGATGTAATCAATGATCGAAACTTAAGTTGTGTTCCTTATGGGACAGCTTGTCAATTTAATCAAGCTGAACATGCCTAATATTGCAAATTCATTAACATAATACAGGATTGTTAGTATTCATAAACCTAGCCTCAATAGTATATGAATTGTTTATGACTTGTATTTGATAATATTGTTAAATATATTTTCAAAGAATGACTTAGAACTTAAATGTTCATTTTGTTCAACAAACTTAAGACATTAAATTTTAAAATTCAACTGGTGGTTTACACCCAGAGTAAAAACATCAACATTTCTGCAGTGAATTGCAATATTGAAAATGAATTTGAACCTGCTGTGGAAAACACTTTCCCAGAACAGTGAAGAACTTCTGTGGCATGTGAGCAACAAAAATAAATGAATCACTGTAGACTCTGCCCAAGACCAGCCATAAATAACATACAACATTGAAGTCAATCATTTATGACAAAATTAAGGCTGTATACAAAATTGCCAAAGCAATCAAGTTTCACTGATACTACTGTAACACTATCTACACAAAGTTGGCTTTTTGGTAAATCAAATATTTTGTAAAGGAATAAAAACAATCCAGGAGAGCAGAATTGCTTATCATGTTTATAATTAATTTTTGAGGTCATTTAGGACACCACCATACAACGGATTGGCAAAATAATAATATTGCACATTTTGGGGAACTCTTAATAGAAGATGGGGTTCATAAATCATATACATGCACCAGCAATTAATAAATTTTGACAAATTATTTCCAGAACTGCAGCAAAATTTGGCTACCTTATTAAAATAACATTTGCAAATAATTAAGTCAGTTCCAGTTCTATTGTAATTTCTCCATAAAATGACTGCCTTATACTTGTAATAAGCATAGCCTTCTGGCCTTGTCTAAGACACAACAAGCAGACAACAGCCATACAATGAGGACAGATCAAGCTGGTAAGCAAATAGAGCCCCAAATATGGCTTAAAGTGAGAGTACTGGCAACTTACAGCAAATGGGAAGTGGGACTCGGGTATGAGAGCTTTGGGAGATCTGAGATCAAGTAGAGGAGGATAACCACTCATCTGTAATATTAATTATTAGCCTCTATTATACGTGTCCTACGTTGGCCACATCAATACAAAAAATTGAGAAATTGTGTGCTCCTCAGTATTTCCACCATTAAATAAATAAATAAAAACATAAAACACATGTTACTTTCTTTGTGATTTACACAATATATATATTGTATTTTGCCTTGCTTCTATTTATTGTTATATATATATATATATATATATATATATATATATATATATATATATATCTTACCCTTTCGGTCATATTCAACAACATATGTAAGAAAGACTACTAGCAAAATATAAAATATACTATTATATAATATATATATATATATATATATATATATATATATATATATATATATATATATATATATATATATATATATATATATATATATATATATATATATTTATATAATAGTATATTTTATATTTTGCTAGTAGTCTTTCTTACATATGTTGTTGAATATGACCGAAAGGGTAAGATTAAGGATTCTAACACGAATCTTCTCAATATTTCTGATGTTTTTCTTACATAAGAAATATTGAGACAATTCGTGTTAGAATAATTAATCTTACCCTTTCAGTCATATTCAACAAATATTTATTATATATTTATATATATATATATATATATATATATATATATATATATATATATATATATATATATATATATATATATATATATATACACACACAGTATATATAATATATATAAAAACACTTTCAATGTACAACTTGCATCATATTCAGAAAGCTGAAATGGCAAGTTCTATATCTATACCATAGTTAAAATTTGAAAAGAAATTAAATTAATCGAACTTTACAATTATTTTTAAACCAGAACAAAAGGTTACACCAATTTAAAATACTGTACCTTAAAACAATATACAGTACTGTATATGTGAGGCACTTACGTCCTAATAACGAATAGATGACTATATAAAAAAAAAAGTTAAACAGTGGTCCCTCAAAAACCCAGACCCTTTAAAACAATAGATTAAAACCATCCCTCAGATTTCATCTTCAAAATAAAGACTAAAAAATACCCCCCCCCCCCACTTAATGTAATGAAATGCTTCTATTCAGTGTGACCTGGTGGTTCCCTTTTGTCTGACAAACTCCACCCACTTCAATCCTGCCAGGTTCTAGCCAGTCGTAAATAAGCCTACCGAGGACCAGACGGTAAAACCTAACCCATCAATAGAGGCACAAGGAGCAGAGCAATGGAAATCATAACCATCCTAACTAACCAGCGTTGAATGTAATGAAGCGCCAATTTCTGTGCGAGCCCTGATGTCTCCTTGAAGCTACCGTCCCCAATGTAGGAGCCAGCTACTAAGTGCCATCAGTTGCAGAGTTCTCTGGCCTACCTGGTCTTCTCACTGAGGAGCAGGGAGCCATGGAATTTATATATTAACCCTTGGACAGCAGCAATACCAAAATGGTCATTCCTGCCATTTGTGTATGATGTATACACAATAACAGGACACCCTGGCACTGCGATACTATGCTGGTATTCTTAAAAAGTGCTGTGTAAATTAACTCATCCTAACTAAGATGGCTGGGAAAACCTACCTCAGTGCCGAAATGCAGCTCACTTGAAACCCAATGCACCCTATCAGCCAAGACACTCCAACTACGGAAAAGACAGAAGCTAAGAACCCCACACTTACCCCAAAGCAAAGGTCACCACAAACAAGCAAGGCCTCTGAAGGTCCCTTTGCTTGTGTTCGGTTGAGTGTCAACTGAACACTCCAGGGAAGAAACCCCTGGGACTGCAAGAGAAGCACTAGCGAGCACCCAGAGAAGGGAACCTTGAACACATGCAGCTCCAAGTGCACTAAACTTCTGGCCCACACATACAAACATGCAACAAACTGCCACCAAGGCAAAAGAACACCCGAGAAAAAATACCGAGGCCAGAGCAACAGTGGCAGACTCGGCACCAGTAAACAGAGGAAAACTAACAAAGATTGATCCTTGGAACCAAGGCAAGAGAAGAAGGGTATATATTTGGTGGTTCAAAGAGCGAGGTGCACATTCCCTGGTGCACATTTTTAAAACTGCTTCACTACAAAATGGTTCATGAATCTCAAGGTTTCACTATTCCATTTTCTATGGTTTGTTTACCTAATTATAGTCTGTTTTGACCTGCTCCCCATTCCCTTTCTGTTGGCCTTTCCTGATTAGAATGATTTACACTTCCCTCCTCCTTGCACCTCTATAGAGGAGCCAGGTTTTGGCCTCTGGCAGGATATTTCTGACTCACTAGGGCCTGGGATTGACTGAATTGGGTGGTGCTTGCCAAGCAGCAAGCATGAAAGAGACATTTAAGGAGAGGGATGCTGTAAAATTTAAGCTGTCAGCTCATGTATTATTCATATTTTTTCCTGTTTTTGCTAAGATTTCGTTTTATTTCAAAATCTTACTCAAAATGCTGTAAAGCAATCATATTTCAGAAATCTTTTACTGTAACAACTTATACAAAAGTTTCTTCATACTGTATGATATTTTTCAAGAGGCATCCAACCATACCATCAGGGCACTAACAACCATGTGTTTTCTGTATGCGAGTGCAGTATAACTTCTAATTACTTAAGGATTTATAATAGCTTTTCTTGATAGTAAGTTGAAGCCATGGGAACTTATTTGGGAGTTGAAGCCATGTCATACGGCTCAAGTGGTACGAATACGTACACTAGACGTGGAAAATGGAACTACCTTACCATGGATAAGAAGCCAGAGATACTAGAGAAACGTAATTATAGCTGGGAAGGCAAACAGCTGGCACTGGACTATTGCATTAGTACAAGTACTGTACTTTTCCGACATAAAGCAAAGGACGCAGCTCATGATTAGAGTCAAAGGGACGCAATGGTGGTGGTAAAAAAAAAAAAAAAAAAAAAAAAAAAAAAAAAAAAAGGTGACAAAAATATTGAAACCTTCTAAGCATGAGGATATGGATGATACCATTTATCAGTGGCTTGTGTAGCATTATAGTCTGGGGCTGGGTGCTGGTGGTGCCATTACAGCCTGTAGGCAACTTTACATTTTATTTATTTTGATTTTTGTTTATATATAAGGGACATTGATCCTTGAATCCAACTCAAGGTAAGGATACCATTTTGTTGTTCCAGTGTGTTTGTTATACAGAATAGATAATACATGAACTCTAAACATCCTAACAAAACCCATGTCTGAAAATGATGTTGATAGGAAATAACCTGTTCTGAATATATTAGTTTCTAACGTTAATACTGTACTGGTTTTGCTGTAAATGTTTATAGAAAGTCAACCTTTAGTGATCTGGGTTTGAAGTTTGTGTCATGTTTTAAAGTTTGAGCAATGTTTAAAAGAATGCTTTAAGAACTTTAATTAAAGATATTTATTATGTTCAGACTGATTCTCCTTTGACTTAGAAATTAGATTCTTCTTGACCTTTTTTCATAATTATGGTTAACCTCTTGAAAGTTTTTATGGGATTCTTAAGTTCATTCTAAATGGCAGACACATTCCTTATATTCCTGTAGTATATATTCCTAGAGATATTAAAACATATTTGCCTCCTATTTTAAAGGTACAGTATGACACAAAATTTAATTCTTTAAAATTACAACAATTTATGACGTGGATATAAATTTATATGGCGGTGATTCATATGTCAGGCTATGAGTAGCTGCGTCCACCAGCCTGGTTGACCAGTCCTGCGACCAGGTGGCCTGGTCGACGACCGGGCCGCGGGGACACTAAGCCCCGGAAGCACCTCAAGGTAACCTCAAGCTTCAGTAGTAATCAGGGGAAACTAAAAAAAATTTCAGTTTGGCAGCAGGTTGCTGCTTCTGGAAACTTTCCTTATTAAGACTACTCAACAGCTCGGTCGATAGAGCTTGGGAATCACACGCGCGGGGTCTGCAGTTCGAGTCTCCTAGAGCCCAGATGAATGGAATACAGAATCAAAGTTATCAGATCTGTCCATAGTTATCTAAATTTCTTTACTGCTATGATCCTCAAATTAAATTTATATACTTTTATTAAGTTTTTACATTGGAAAAATTTTAGACAAAGAATCTTTCCAAACATCGTTATATGCTAAATTAATTATCAAAAGTAGGCACCAAACTAGTTAACACTATTTAAAACTGTCACAAGTCAAAAGGTACTAAATATTACTCAATAAATTACTAGATAAACAATACTATTACTAAATAAACAATGCAAAAGCAAACAGACTTAAGTGACGTCAAAGCAAGCATGATTTTATCGAGAAATACTGTGAAGTAAGAATTACTGTTATCCTGAAAAATTACGACATTTTACGTAGTGCACAACTTCAAGAGGGCCAATGCACCACAGGAGTTAAGTGCTTGTGAACAATACCCAGGTTAGCCAGAACCATTTCCCACTGCCTATTAAAGTGTGGTAGGAGCAAAAACAGTACTGTATATATATTTACTTGCTCTAACCATGTTAAAAATATTTAATGTACATTTCCTAATTTAAAAATTAGAATTAAATTCATTCATTAGAGTACATTCTCTTGAATTGGGCTATAATCTAGTCTGTTAACTTTCAAATTTTAGCTAAATCAAACAAATATATTTTGAGGATATTGGAAAGTTTATAAATGCAATAAAATCAAACAAATCAAATCCAACTTATCTACTACTTGCCACATACACACACAAATGATTTTTTTAAAGATTTTCCATAATTTTTCAATGGATGCTATTGTAACAGTGTTCATCTGTCACTTTAATGCCCATTCCAATCTTGCTCTACTGTCAATATAGTGTATCCCTCAGGTATTTCCCATAGATTGTTAATGTGAATTTATTTTTAAATTTGTCTTATTTGTTCGTATACTGTATATCAATCACTAACGTTGTCTTTGAACATGTGGTATTTGATTTATTTTCATTTATATTGCATTTTGTATCTTCGGAGTCCTCTCATCTTTGAGGACGCAAGTCTCACATTTTTAAGATGCCTGGAGCATGCCTGGAGGGGGTTTCGGGAGTTCTACTCCCTGAGCCCGGCCTGGGGCCAGACTCAACCCCCAGGTCACTACTATAACTTGTAACTTTTAGTTCTGGTATGAAGATAATGATGAATAAATAAATAACATTCAAATCCCACACATGAAAAGAAAGGAAATGGTGATGTTTTGGCCCATCCTGTACCTTTTTAAAGTCTCGTCCTATGAGTGGGATGGGTTAATTTTCAGTCACATTACTGTGACTTATTCCCTCAATAATTGGAAAGTTTGATCAATTCAATTTCATTTAACCTTTCAATTGTCTAATTATAAAATTTGTTTCCACTCAGCTTCCAAGTGATGATGAAAGTTGTATACCGAGACAATTATTAAAAACACTTTAGCACTAGAGATGATCCTATCATCCCTCAGTATACCAGCTCATGAATGTGTGTTGCAGACGCACACGCACACATATGCTGGGAAGATGAGCCACCATGAGCATAGTTTTTATCCTGTAACAACACTTGGGTAATTACAAACACACACACACGGTAATTTGACTCACACTCATGATGATGACAACACAGTATAGAGCTCCAGGATTATATCATCATCATCCAGTTGGTAGTATTGGAGAGAGGTGCACAAGTGGTGTCCCAGCTACCATAAATATGGTGCACAAGTGGTGTCCCAGATACCATAAATATACTGAGATCAGTAATAGAAGGTGTAGAAAAATGAATTATTGAAAAACAGATACAGTATACAAATCTAGGAAAAGTTAAAGTAAGGTTTACCAAATGGAAGCAGACGAGAATTAAAATACTGTAAACATACTGTAAATGGCAGTCATGAGACCTGGACAATCAAAACAACATATGAAAATTTCAAGGAGTTTCACTGAGGAAAAAATAGGGAAAGGAGGTTTTCTTGGAAGGTTAGCAAAGGTTGAGGTTTTGCTATTGATTCATCAATCATCAATCCATCAATGCTGGATTTCGTATTTGCCAGGAAAGAAGAAAAATTTGGTATTCAGTACTTTTCTCCATTGAGTAAGAATGATTATGTCTTTTTGGAAATCAAATATGCAATGCATTATAATGCAGAAGAAAATGACGAAAAGGAAATGGTGGAAAACTTGATTTCATTATGGGATACTTTTAGAAAGTTATTTAATTATTGTGATTTGAAGGATTTGTTGTTAAGCAAGGAAATAATGAGATGTATGATCAATTTTGTGATATACAGTATATGATTTAGGCACAAAATGATTTATATATGAAAACAGAGATGCAGAACTAGAAAACAGGATTGGTTCAACAGAAATTTTAAGAGGGCCAGAGAACCAGACAAAATTGACATGGAATGTGGAATAGGAGAAAATAGACCCCACACAATCTAAAATTATGTGAAAAAAACTTTAAAGAATTCTGATAAGGAATGAGATCTAGGGGGTGGTTCTAGACAAAACCATCACCTGAGAACCACATAGAGAACATTGTGCAAGGAGCCTATGCTATGCTTTCCAATTTCAGAATTCTTTTAAAATACAAAGACCTAAATACATTTAAAGACCAAAGTTGGAATATGCACCGGTTGTATGGTGTCCGTATCTTGAGCAGTACATCAACAAACTGGATAAGGTGCAAAGACATGCAACTACTGCATATGACTTTGGGAACTGTACAACAAGAGCTACAAGGAGAGCTTAGAGGCATTGAATGTTCTAAAGCTAAACGGCAGAGAGAAAAAAAAAAAAAAAAAAAAAAAGGTGATGTGATCACTATGTACAAAATAGTATTGGAATCGACAAAATTGATAAGGAATAATTTCTGAGGCCTGGTACTTCAAGAATAAGAGGTCATAGATTTAAGCTAACTTAACAAAGCTGCCAAAGAAATAAGAAATTCATTTTTGCAAACATGAGTGGTAGACAGTTGGAACAAGTTAAGTGAAGGTGGAGGCGGCCAAGACCATCAGTACAGTAGTTTCAAAGCATTATACGACAACGTTATGGGAAAACGGAACACCACGAGTGTAGCTCTCATCCTGTAATTACACATAGGCAATTACACATCAACTTATGATAAACTCCCGTGTTAACATAGTCAAGCACAAACCTAAAATTACACCCAGCAGAATATTACCACCTTAATTATGACAGGTTCCAAATTATCATTATTATTACTAAGCAATTGTTTACTCCACTGAACTTTATATAACATACAGCTAAAAAATACTAAACTTATTATTTATAATAAAGGTTCTAATTAAATTTTACATTTTTATGTAGACAAGAATAATTTGAACACAACTACAATTTAAACAAGGAAAGAGACTTTATTCAAGTTTAACCAATTTAAAAATTATTTGCAACCTAAATGCTTAACAGCCCAGGTATTTTAAGAATACATGTAGTTCCTAGCCTTTACCAATTGATAACCTTACTTAATCTCTTCTCGTTAAACACTACCACGCCTCGATATTTACTCGAGCCCATAAAACAAAAAATTACTGTACTGTTGACTTATTACATAGTAATTTTTCTTTTAAATATGAGTCAAGATTTGAGGAATAATGGAATATACAGGCTAACACACAAAGATTTCACCTATTTAAATAATTTCCAACCATAGTTTGAAGGTTTAGCATGATATTGCTTCATCAAGCTGACCTTTGTCATCGACCATAAGCACAACTGTGTGTGATTTTAATGATGTAAGGCAGTAAATGAAATAATAAATCAAGTGTCTGTGGAATTAATGAAGGTGCTTGTTAAAACACTTATGTAAACAGTGTATTTATGATATTTATCCTGATATTCAATATACTAGAATTATAAGATGAGAAATAATTAAATATATTTCTCTAAGAATGTATTATAAATTTCATTGAATTTCAGACATGTGATTCATTGCTTTTTCAGATTTCAAGCCATAACAGATGACTGCAAATATAAACTGAAATCCTTTTGCCTCGTTAATCTTTCACTCTCACAGTCTGAACACCCCAACAAATGTAGTCCGAGTGTTAGAATGCATGAAGATATGTGTCATTTGTTGCCTAAAGACAACTAGTGCCTATGAAGATCAATTTAGATTTTAGCATCTTTCATTATTCACCCAAGAAGAACATTCAATTGTTTTCTCAGTTGTGATTTTGATGAATCTTTGCAAGATAAACACATTACAGCTGTGATGAACATTCCTGAACTCTACTTGTGCACTTACTCGCCTGCCTACAAGAAGTCCACTATTGAATAACTTTGGTAGACAGTTAGTATTTATTGTTCCATTATTTACAGGTACCAGCCATTATAGACAAACCCAAGTTAATGGAGTGAGTTTCTAACCTTAAATGCAAGTAACATCCAAACACACCTACACACTACTCAACAGACCTGAAAATAACTGCACAGCTGAGATCCTAAAGTCTCAGCCTCAGCTAGTCCAAGTGGCATTACTCTCCTTTACACAGTTAAGAGTCTTACCTTGTTTTGGTGTCCCCAGCCTTGAAGTTCCATTTCAGATTCACCCCAACCAACAGGACCGCCAGGACCTCCTGTTGGGGTCTTCGGTTTTGTGCCCCATGACGATGGTGATGTAATTGGTTGTTCTCCCCAACCAGCTGATTTGGGATCCTCCCCCCACATGCCACTACCCGTATCGTGAGGGGCGTCACTCCAGCTGCCATTTCTCCTGAAGCAAAACGTTTTTATTTTAAAAAAAGTTAAGATCATTTTTATCATAAAAAATTATTCATAAACAATTCAAAAGCCACACAAGGATGGTAGTCACTCACCCATGCTGTCCCCACATTCGCTGATCTGGTTTTATTCCTGATGGAACTGGTGGTCCTGGCATACGTCCCGGCTGTGGCCCTGGAATTCCAGGCCTTCCCATCATGTTAGGAGTAGGCATATCCTTCCACCGTGAGACATTAGCTTGTTGCTGTGGATTGCCCCACACAGCTGTGCCATCATCTCGTCGTTGTGAGGGTGGTGAAGGCTCCTCCCATCCACTAGGGCCACTTGGTCCACCTGGCTTAATGTCTTTAGGACCATTCCATTGTGCTGGACCTCCTGGACCACCAGGAGGAACTCCATGAGTAAGACTACCATGAGGACCACTGTGAGGGCCACCATGAGGTCCATTATGAGGACCACCATGTGGCCCACTGTGGGGTGCACCATGAGGTCCACCATGAGGGCCATTGTGGGGTCCACCATGTGGGCCATTGTGTGGGCCTGTGTGAGGCCCTGCATGTGGACCTGTATGAGGGCCACTATGGGGACCACCATGTGGACCACTGTGGGGACTAGTGTGAGGGCCTGTGTGTGGACCAGTATGCGCAACATGAGGTCCAGGTTTGTGAGGGCCCCCAGGTCCCCATTCACTGGGAGGATTTTCAATTCCAGATCTTTGTGGTCCATGTTCTCCCCATCCGCTGCCACCACTTCCACCACCACCACTGCCGCCGCCACCACCGCTGCTGCTGCCGCCGCCACCGCCACCACCCCCGCCACCGCCGCCCCCACCACCGCCACCGCTACCACTCCAATCAATATTTTTCTTTGGAGGTGCACCACCACCCCACATGTTAGGAGCACTAGGTGTGTTAGCTCCCCACTGTGGATTATTGGGTGGGACACCAGTCCAAACATTAGAAGAGTCTGTGGCATCGTCATCTTCTCCCCATGTACCCCCATAGTTCGTGGCTGGGGTGTGACCCCACGGAGCTTGCTGAGCTTTAGGGGGTGCAGCCCCACCATTTCGCAAATTGTTTTCCCATAGGTCACATCCGTTGTTAACATTAAGTTTAAAATGGGGTGCACTTGAATCTTTACCAGGTTCTGGCGATCCTGGAAGATCCCACGAGGTATCCTGGTTCACATTTTCTCCACCCCAACCTTCACTGCTGAGCAATGCTTCCCTGATACTCTGCAGTTGCTGCTCCATGTGACGTTTTTGAGCATCTCCTGACCCACTACCAGCTGGAAGACCTTTCCCTGCAGCTTGTGCCCAAGTGTTATTACTATTGCCTCCTTGTCCACTGGTACCTTGCTGAGTCTGCTGCTGACTGACTCCTGTTGGTCCCTGCTGCCCTCCAGTTCCTCCAGTCTGTGTGTTCTGCTGGCCTGCTGGAGAACTGGGCTGCTGGGCAGGACCACTAGATTGCTGTGCTGGTTTGAGGTTACCTCCCTGGGCAGGTGATGTGTTGGGAGCCCCTCCACCCCGACTGGGACCTCCACCCCACTGGCTCTGTGAACCGGACTGGTTGGCACCAGAGCTACCCCACCCAGCTGTTTGAGGGGCTGATCCTCCCCACCCATTGGCTGCACTTTCCCCCCCGCCTACGAGACCCAAGCCACGTGGAATGCCCCACTTATTAACTTTAATAAAGCCATGGGGGAAGGAAGCAAAACCAAATTTTCCAGGCTTGCCTGCAGCCTGGAATTTTGATGAAGTAGGAAATGAAGCGTATTGGTTGCAGGTTGCACTTATTAGGAGTAAGCTGGCTGTAGCCTGCTTTACCTCCTGGTTAAAGCTAGGGTTGCTACCCTGGAGTTGGCTATTGGCATTATTGTTGGCCATTGAGCCAGGAATGTTGAGACTGGCCTGTGCAGGTGTGTGTGCTACAGCTGGTGATGACTTCTGAGTTGGCTGAGAGGTGTTGTGCAGCGAACATGTGGTACAGGAAGCCTCAGCCCCAACTACACAACAATGGCTTGATGCTGCTCTAACTGTCACAACACCTTGCTGGCCAGAGGGGGTCACAAGTGTCTCCCCAGGGGACCCCCCCAGCCCAGGGGACCCAGGGGCAGTGGTCGAGGACGGACGGCTGGGCCCCATGGTGCCCTTGGGCTCCTCATCTCTGCTGCTGACGCGAGCACCGGCAACGGAGATGTGACCACATAACGGCGTGGAGCTGAATATCACAGAAGAAGATTCAACAGATTGGCAAGGCAAGTATGGGTCAGCTCCAACCCCATCCGCCTCACCATCTGTTACTGGGGACTCACGGCCAGCTGCTGATACTGGCGTGCTGCTTATTTCATTAGCTGCCATACTGGCACTGTCATCAGCACTTAAAATGCTCTGGCTGCTGCTACATCTGTGGTCCACATCCCTTTTACTTTGTGCTTCACACACCATGCCAAAGGTCTCCACATCCTGTTGAGAGATAAGCAAATTAAAGAAAAATATTAAAATCAAGGTACCATTACTAATCATAAGACAGACAATAATTATGTACAATTTCATTAAAAATAATGTGGAACCAGTGAAACTGCTTCCACATGATTTTGCTCCACAATAGCAAGATACCAAAAATAATGGTGAATGTAATGAAACATCCATCTCTAGGCAGCTTCAGTTTCCTTGGTGGATCAGTTTTGGCGAAATGGAAACAGCCATAAAATCTACCAAGCCTCTGGACTTTCATAGGCCTACCAAACACCAGGACCAAAATCTGGTGCTTAAAGGAAAGAGGAGCACGAGGATCCGAGATCAGTCTCGTAATCGAGTAAAACTCCCAATAAATTACAGGCAATCCCTGACTAACAGACAACTCTGATGACGAAGTCAAAACTAGCCCATCGTAGAGGTACAGTTGTACTTGCGTTTACGAATTAAATTCGTTCCCAGAGATGGCTCATAAACCGAAAATTCGCAATCCAAAACAAATTTTTCCATAAGAAATAATGCAAATTGAAGTAATTCGTTCCACACTCCCAAAAATATTATCTTCAAAATAGATTTCATACATATTACACAAATGTTTTGTACTATAATATGTTCAAGTTATAGCTTACCTTTATTGATGACTTATTGGCGTATGGAAGACAATGAGGAGAGTGGGAGGAGGAGAGGTGTTAGTGTTTGGAAGGAGTCCCATTCCATTATAACATCCGGCAGTGATAACTTCTTTGGAGTACTCTCTCTCTCTCCTATGTTTTGCCTGCATACCACTAGGACCTGGTTGTGGCTCACTGCTTGGTTTTCTCACTAAGAACCTTTCCATAGAGACTTGTTTTTCCCTATGTTTTGACACTTTCTGTAGTGAGGCATCACAGTGTCATTAAAAAGGTTAAGGCAACGGCCTACTGCAGCTTGATTTGGGCGAGTTATTTCAACAAAATTTTGCATTTCTTCCCATACTGCACACTACGTCTTAATTGTTGAAGAACCCCTTGCATGATATATAATATTTACTTTATGTTCAGAAAGCAGAAAAAAATTAAATTCTTTACAAAGAATTCAAGCATGATCATTACTAAGCAAGAGCCACTGGTAAACTGAATCGCGGTCGCCCTTGCCACCAGGAATCACGCACTCGGTCGACCCATACATGTATCAACAAGCTCGCAAATCGAGGCAAAGCTCGTAAACCGATTCGAATGAGTGCTACACTCTCACTAGCAGTGAGATTTGGGATCATAGTGAGGGCAGTAGCACTCCAGGATGCAATTCTTTTACCATGTTGTGGCACAGCTGGGAACATCCTGTGCATAGGTTCGAACCCTCATCACGGCACTTGTGGATTTGTTCATTTAATATATAATGCTACTATGATTTCTGTGTGTATTGAAGTAAGGCCAAAACCATCAGTTGTTTCAGAGCACCACACAACAAAGACTACTCAGAAGACAGGACACTACAAGCACAGCTCTCATCCTGGAACTACACTTAGATAATTAGATGTCCAGCAACAAATAAAGTAAATCTGTCACTGAAAAAATCCTCGAACTCGGCAGAGAGAGCAAGTCAGAAACACTGACTCGCATCCCTGAAAGCTGCAGTCTAAATCAAGGTTGCAAACAACCACCAAAAGGAAAAAAATAAATAACACATAATCGTAATACTATGTTATTATATACTGTGTGTGCCAAAAGTGCCACCGGGACTTAATGCGGACTGGCTGTAAGACATTAATAAATGTCCAAATGCACAAGACATTAGGGTTGTGATGCCAAATCCTGGCAAGTATAAATGAGAAAGATACATAGTGCCATGGATTTAAACTGAATGAACCTTTATGCATTAACAGAGTGGAATTCCATAAAGATGGAAAGGCATACCTACAACTTCCAATAACAGGTCTGGTTTATAGACCAAGTCCGAAGCCCTAACCAGACACCAGGGAAACTAATAATAGAAGCCCTTGAAAAAGTGGATACTTAAACCCAGTGGAGAAGACTGCTCTGGTGGGGAAACAAAATACAAGCTACACAGTCACAAAGTTGGCTAATTAATCATCCAAGAATATGTATAATGGAGAGCATAAACACAATGATGAAGTGTAACAGAAATACTAAGCATGCCACCCACCACCCAACCTGCAGGACAACAAAATCCTAAAGAACACAACCAGGCTCACAAGCTAAGTCTAGTCTGCAAGCTGAACTCTTGGAAGGCCTGAGCTGCCATCTGGTGATGCACTTGGATACTGGCACATGGTATGTTGACATCTGGCAAACTACTGCTTCCCTTCTTTTCATCTTTTCTCTCACCTCCATGAGTACACCAATTTCTGGTCTTGGTGCTGGGTAGGCCTGCACAGGTCCAGAGGCCTGGTAGTGTCATGGGTGTGTCTGGTGCCAGAATCAATGCACCGGGGAGCTACTGAGGGCCAGCCCAGAAACCATTATTTTGTTGAAGAGGTCAAGTCCCAATTAGTCGCACATATTAAGGTTCGACAACAGTACTTTGACAGCAAAAATAATGCCAGTATGAAAGCTTCTTTGCCTTGCAAAACAATTAAAACAACATTAAATGGGAGCTTGACTTTAAAGACAGTAAAGCAGAGAAGCCACTTAATTGACACATGGCTGTATTTAATTAATGGGAATTAGAGATACAAAAATAAATCATTTCTTAGGAATTTATTATACGAGTTTCTTGCACTTCATTAGCTGAAAACTCGGTAACAGATAAGAGCATTACTGTACTTGGAAACTAATAAAACCTTAAAATAAATCTTAACTAGCCAGAACCTCTGTACAATTATGCTAAATATTGAACTGAATGCTATATACAGTACAACTTACTGTAGAGGTATCAGGCACTTTGTTGGTAGGAAACTCAGGATTTGGCAAGTTTGTGACCGCATTGGCCTGGTGTGCTTCACAGTGGCTGTCCATTCTGGTGCACAACTCACCACCTACACAACACTAGAAACAAATACAGCATAAATAAACTGAACAAATAAGTACATCAAATTATCAACTAATTTGCATGTGCTATTGCCCCAGAATATTCAAGTTTCAGATATGGTACTGAACTGCAATAATCAAAACTTTTAAAGAAAATACAGTACTGTACACAGAAACTTTGCATCACCAGCTGAGCTTAAAGCTTCAAATATTGTGTTCACTGAAGCAGCTAGATAAGTTTCAATTAGAACCAATCGAGGAAGGTATCCCAACATTATACCAAATTTACATAAATACGGTGCAACCCAGTTTATCAAACTAATGCATGCTAGAGGATGTCCACTTTGGCAAAATACAGTTAAATAAATCGAGGTGCAAGGTAAGCATGTTGAGAGAATCTCAAGCATACCACCAAATAAGTATACTCTTGCTTATTTGGTGTAAAATGGGATTGAAAATATTATATAGCTATTGAAGGTAGTGACCAACACTACCCTCACTTATACTGTACTGTTTTTACAAGCTCTTAGTATCAGAAAACTGTATTTAAGTTATTTCTCACACTATGATATAAATAGTGAGGATGGGTTGATTTTGTGTAAATTAAAGGTTCCAAGAGAAAAGCAGCTGGCAGTGATCACAGCTGGCTGCCGCCACCACCACCACATGCCAAACAATTCCTCCTAGAGACTAACATGCAGCCAAAAACTCACTGAATCCACAGGACATCTGGAGGCCCCTACTGAAGCAAGTGCAGGTTTTACAAACAACCGCCCCTCCCCCATGTACTATGGTATAGGTAATGGAAGAACTCCATTACCCATACCAGAAGGCATGGGGGGTTGTATTAAAACCTGGACTGGTCAAGTCCCAATTAGTCGCACCTATTAAGGTTCGACAACAGTACTTTGACAGCAAAAATAGGGGCCTCCAGATGTCCTGTGGATTCAGTGGGATCTCAGGTTGCATAACTTGTACCATGTTGTGGTCCAGAGTGCGCAGCTTGGAAGTACCCAAGTGAGGGTTCGAATCCCCCTCATTTCTCAGAATGATTTTCTCAATAAAAATAATAATAAGTACCTTGGGCCCCTGCAAGGATTACCTATGGACACAGCAGAACAATAACACCAAATAAGTTATTATGGCAAGAATATCATTTTGGGGGAGCTCCTTGTGGCTCCCTATAGCTAACATCTCCGATGTGGACTCGCCTAGTTGTACTGACCTAGTTGCGCTTGCGGGGGTTGAGCTTCAGCTCTTCGTTCCCACCTCTCGACCATCAATCACTGGTATACAGATTCCCGAGCCTATTGGGCTCTATCATATCTACATTTGAAGCAGCGTATGAAGTCTGCCTCTACCACATCACTGTCTATCGTGCATTCTATTTCATAACTAGTCTGACACTAAAAAAGTTCCTTCTAATGTATGTATGGCTCATCTGAACACTTGCTTCTATTTGTCCCCCCCTTGTGCATGTACCCCTTGTGTTAAATAAACTGTCTTTATGTACCCTATCAATTCCTCTGATAATCTTGTATGTGATCATGTCTCCTCTAACTCTTCTTTCTTCCAGCGATGTGAGGTTCAGTTCCTGTAGTCTCTCCTCGTAGCTCATATCCTTCAACTCGGGTATCAGTCTGGTGGCATACCATTGAGCCTTCTCCAATTTAATCTTGTGTTTTACTAGATACAGGCTCCATGCTGGGGCTGCATGCCATAGAATTGGTCTGATATACCTGCTTGATGGGGTTCTGGGAGTAGTTCTACTCCCCAAGCCTGGCCCACCACACTGTTGCTAGGAGCAGCCCGCAGGCCCACATACCCACCACAGCCCGGTGGGTTGTGGTATATGTGGTATATAAAGACCTGAATGATTCCTTGCACAAGATCCTAAAGGCAGTTATTATGTTGGCTAACCTAGCATATGCCACTGATGATATCCTCTTTACATGGGTTTCAAGGAACAGATCTGGTGAGTTATCAACTCCTAGGTCTTTCTCCCTCCCAGATTCTTGAAGGATTTCATCTCCCAAATGGTATCATATATCCAGTCTCCTGCTCCCTACCCCTATATTCATTACTTTGCATTTGCATCAAATTAAATTCTAATAGCTATATAAATTGTCATCCACACTTCCATGCCATTTGTTGGGCCATTCTTTCAGATGTCCAGGTCATCTTGAAGCCACATACTGTTTTCCCGTCTTAATTTTCTCATAATTTTAGCATTATCAGCAAACATTGACAGGAATTAGTCTATACCCTCTGGAAGATCAGTTACATACATCAAAAACAAGATAGGTCTGAGCACAGAACCTTGTGGAACACGGCTAGTGACATCATGCCATCCTGAGACCTCACCCCTCACAATAATACACTGCTTCCTATTACTTAGGTACTCCTTCATCCACAGGAGCACCCAAGCAACCATTTTCCGGGTTGGAACGTGCGAGTACTGCATTGCCAAACAGGTGCCATCAGTTGCAAAGTTCTAGGGCCTACCAGGGACCACGTGCCAGTACCTGGTCCCCCCTCACAGACACTCAGGGAGCAGTAGCATCTATTTTGTATATGCCACCAATAGGGAAAGCCCCCAGAAAGTCAGTGAGAAAACGACCACAGTTGGCTACTTCCTATACCTGCAGACTTGAAAACAGCCATTGAACTCTCCCAAATTAGATAAACAACTGAAAATATTTTGATCCAGCTCACACTCATTTACCACCTACTCTCATTTAGGGGATGGTGGTGGTGACACGTTCATGGCTTCTAGGCCACAAGCCGGCCAGCTCTCCTCTGACGTGTCAGGCAGCCATGTCACTATGGCCCGAGCTCTTTTCCTGGGTTTTTGCCTTGGTTATTTTGCCATACAATATTCTGTGTGCATGGGCCAGGAGTTGTGTGCATTTGTAACACCTGTTCCATCCCATCTCGAAGGAGTGGACTGTCACTGTCGCCTCCCTCCTCAGTCTGTGCGAGACGTTTGATCGCCAAGTCTCTGATCTCTGTGTTCGGCTTGGTCCCAGTGTTTTCCCTTACACAGCACCACTTGAGGCTCTTGTGGTGGATGCCTTTTGGCAGGACTAGGCAAGGTGGGAGTTTCTGTACCTCTTTTCCCCAGTCTGGCTGTTACTCTGGGATCTGGAGAGGTTGGATTCCTACTGAGGATGGGTGCTCCTTCTGGCTTCTTGGTGGCAAACCCAGCCGTGGTTTAAAGCACTGCTTGTTGGGTGCTTGAATTCGGCATTCTTTCCACTGCCTCACCTCCTCCGAAGGATTGGCCAGCCTTGCCTTGCTAAGTCGACCTCCTTCTCTACTCTTCGCACTTATCCTTTTAATGCAGGGGTATCGTCCCTCCCGAGTTGATCACGTATTTACAAAGTGTCGTGCCTGTAGGGTTCGTCAAGGCATCAGTGTGTGGTTCTTGAAGGTTGTTTCCCCCTCTTCCTTTTGTTGTACTTTTTGGTTGGCATCTTCTACTGATACTGTTGCCTCAAATCATACAATGCTGGCGGAGCCTCTGCAGCTTGCATAGGGGGTCGACATTGTCTCGACTTTATTTTGAAAGTTGTTTCATACTTCGTTTCACCTCTAGCTTGCTCTTGTGCTGCCAGAGCCAGTCTGGTCTCTAGACTGGGTGCTCCCTTTTGTCTCTTCTGCTCAGTTTCCTGTTTCCTTTGGTCCGGGTTTCTTTTCTTTCGACTCTTCTAGGTCGCCATGACTTTCAGCTACCGTGCAGGGGTGCTTCATGCTTTCCTTCAGTGCCGGTAGTTTTGCTCTTTTGGTCCAGGCGGTTGGGTTCTTCGGTCCCGGCCTGCTGCTGCTCCTAGCTCAGCGAGGGTCATTTGGTTTCCAAAATGGTCCCTTAGTTCTCGTTTCCTTGTTCTGGCCAGGGGTACATCCTGTTTTGTGTCTTGTGGAGGTTCTTCGTCACTGTCTTCATACTTTGCTGTATCATTGGTGGATGCCTTCGGGGGTTTTCCAGTCTCTCTGGGTCCCTGTTCCAAGGTTCATCCTTCTCGAGTCATCCACAGTGTTGTTCAGTCCCACTGACCTGCAGTCTGTCCTCGTGCCCGTGATATTTGCCCATCAGTCACACTCTCGGTTGTCATGCTGCTATGCCCTGGACTGTTGTTCATGCACGGGGGGTTTGGGTAGTTAGCCGTGATTTTGGCTGCCAGTTGTTGGGTTATTGCTCTTGAACCTCAGAGCCTGTGTATCTCTGGATCGGCTTCTATGCTGACCATCTTTTCTTCGTTCTGATATCGGCAGTGCTTCCTCCTCTCTAGTACATCCCTCTCCTCTTCTTTGTGGGTAGATAGCTGCAGAGTGCCACAGGGGGCCTCACAGTACCAGAAATCCCAGCATTGAATTTAATGAAACCCCAATTTTTGGGCAAGCCCCAGTGGCTCCCAGACACCCGCCCTCCATCCAGGGATTCGGGTGCTTCACGCCATTTGTTGAACTGACTGGCTTGTGGCCTTGGAGTAACAGACAGCCCACCTTTCTCCCAAACGAGAGGGTGTGGTGGAGTAATCTAGTGAGAGCTGGATCAAAACATTTTCAGTTCTTTCTTTACCTCCTTTTGGGGGAAGTTCTATGGCCATTTTCAAGTCTTCAGGCATAGGAAGTAGCCAGCTGTGGTCTGTTTTGCCTTGCTGACTTTCTAGGTGCCTTTCCTGGTGGTGGCATATACAAAATAGAAGCCACTGCTTCCTGCATCTCTGAGGGGGGGCCAGAACCCTGACTAGTCTACCCCCAGTAGGCCAGAGAACTCTGCAACTGATGGCACCTGTTAGGCAATACACACATCAGGAATGTTAACTACAGGAAGCCACCGGGGCTCACCCAGAAATTGACATTTAATTACATTCAACGCTGGTTTTTGGCAAATGAATTAATGCACAAATTTTTTAAGATGTTTCCCATTATGGCCTCATAATAAGTGCCACCAATAATTATAGGAAAGTTATCAAAAGTAATTTTAAAACATGTCAGATCATATATAGTTTGGGAGACATTAAGTGTACTCTACAGTTGACTTTCAGCATTTTTAAAGTCTGGTTGCCTGGTCTGAGGCTTCCTGGGTGGCTGCCCAATGGATATTTAGAAAATGGTACTAAATAGTATTCATAATTTATGGTTTGGCAACAAATTTTTGAAAGATAAAAAAATACAGATTGTTAGATATATGAAACAGGTAGAAAGACCAGTGGGTGGGTAAGAAAGGTCAGTGGGTGGGTAAGAAAGGCCAGTGGGTGGGTAAGAAAGGCCAGTGGGTGGGTAAGAAAGGCCAGTGGGTGGGTAAGAAAGGCCAGTGGGTGGGTAAGAAAGGCCAGTGGGTGGGTAAGAAAGGCCAGTGGGTGGGTAAGAAAGGCCAGTGGGTGGGTAAGAAAGGCCAGTGGGTGGGTAAGAAAGGCCAGTGGGTGGGTAAGAAAGGCCAGTGGGTGGGTAAGAAAGGCCAGTGGGTGGGTAAGAAAGGCCAGTGGGTGGGTAAGAAAGGCCAGTGGGTGGGTAAGAAAGGCCAGTGGGTGGGTAAGAAAGGCCAGTGGGTGGGTAAGAAAGGCCAGTGGGTGGGTAAGAAAGGCCAGCGGGTGGGTAAGAAAGACCAGCGGGTGGGTAAGAAAGACCAGCGGGTGGGTAAGAAAGACCAGCGGGTGGGTAAGAAAGACCAGCGGGTGGGTAAGAAAGACCAGCGGGTGGGTAAGAAAGACCAGCGGGTGGGTAAGAAAGACCAGTGGGTGGGTAAGAAAGACCAGTGGGTGGGTAAGGAAGGCAAGTGGGTGGGTAAGGAAGGCAAGTGGGTGGGTATGAAAGACCAGTGGGTGGGTAAGAAAGACCAGTGGGTGGGTAAGGAAGGCAAGTGGGTGGGTATGAAAGACCAGTGGGTGGGTAAGGAAGACAATCAAACAGGGATAAAGGCAAGCAGGTGGGTAGAAGAACTATCAAGCTAGTATAAAAACCACAAAGAAAACCTTGTCCAGGATGCCAAAAAATCCCATCAGTGAACACCAAGAAACTCCATTTGTTTCCTACCACAGGCTAACTCACCTTGACTATGAGAGAGAAGGCCTCTGAATCCGAGCTCCCTGAAGAAGAAACACCGAGTGGACTGACCAAGCAGTCGTCTACACACTCTTTGGCTGACAATGCATAGAACCTAAGATCTGAAAAGTAAAAATATATCCAATAACTAACTGCCAGAATATACTGTATGAGAAAATATTACATGTCGCTTAGAAATACAACCCATCCTCCTGTTTAGATGATACTTTTTTTAACTATGTACACCATAGTAAAAACATTGACATACTAAGCAATTAGTAAAATTTGGTACTATTCACTTCATAGTAAAAAAAAAAATGAAGCTAAAAAATTTAAAGGTTCCTAGGCCAAGTATATCACACACACCCACATGTACTATATTAGGCCTCAGATAGTGTGTATTAGGCCTTGGAAGGGTAGGTTAGGTTAGTTTAGTTTGTCTTCACAAATACAAAAATTTATTCTGGTTTGTCCAAATTCAATAGTGATTTTTACTTTTTTTTTATTCTGTTGTACGCCGGTATATGTACAATGTACTATATACTGAACCCGAAGCCACCCACTCTGAGAAGACTCAACATAGCCAAGGAGAGGAGGCCTGCCCCAAGCCCCCCCCCCCCCACCCAAAAAAAGGCAGGACCAACAAACTTCACTGCAGGCCGCAAGAAACAACCCGAAGTCGTGGGACCAAGAGCCGGTAAACCGAGCTAGCTTCTTCCCCACTGCTCCACAAGGGGGGTGACCTACATAAGGGCCAGCATGAACCCCGAGAGCTAGCTTTTCAAGCAGAGCGATAATGGTGCCAACCAGACAAAAACGACAAGGCTTGGGGATTACATCTAACCCAGCTACTGGCACCACAGAGGATCCACCTCGACCAACAGAAGACAACACCCTGGACTAACCAAATTGCCAAGAAAGGCGAGAAGAACAATAGACAAAAAAGGTAAAGAAGTGAGAGCCATGGCCCATGTTTAGCCCAAAGACTGAACCAGCACGGCTTGCTGACACGGGTTTTTACGGGCTCACCATAGCCCGTGCTACATGGACACTTCATTTTGATTAGCTAAATCTGAAACAACAACAACAAACTGACACGCGAGACAGGTGAAAAACATGAAACTGCCTCCTGAATGATCGGAGCATACAGCTTAAGGAGGGTTGCCAATGCCAAAGCAGCAGAGGTCAAGACCCCTGCACAAGGAACCTCATCGGGCATACCAACATCCTCCAAGAGCCAATCAGAATGAAGCTCTAGGAGGCTCAAGAAATGCACAACAGAAGCCAAGTGAGAGCGGACAAGAAGGTCGTCAGTAACCAAGGCAGCCGACAGAAGAGGAGCCTGAGCATGTAGCTGAACAAGACCCACATCACAGGAAAGGGAAGGAGCAACGATGCACTCATTGAGACCCTCAAAAGAATAAAAAATATACAATCCTGCAACACACAAGAAACTTCCATCAGTCAAGCGTGCAGTTACAGTCAAGCTCAAAGTAAAAAGGGCAGTTGACTCCAGAACCTCATAATGCATCCAATAAGGGGAAGAATTAATGAACTCAACTATGTTGAGCAAAAGGTATGTACTAAGGGCCTCCCGGGCCTCCGCCACGGGGACCTGGGAGGAAGGAAGAAGTGCAATATAACCCCAATATAACCCAGGAAGAGGCAAAATTTATTAATTTACATTCATGACACCTGGAACTTCCAAGAACAAGAGGTCATAGATTTAAACTACTAAAACAGAGCTGCCAAAAAAAAAAATTAGAAAGTTCACTTCTGCAAACAGAGGAATAGATGACTGGAACACGTGAGAAGGTGGTGGATGCAAAAACCCTCAGTAGTTTCAAACCATCCTATGAGAGAGTTCTGGAAAGACAGGACACCACGAGTGTAGCTGTCATCCTATAACTACACTTATCAATAACACATAAGTAATTATGTGTAATTAATACGTTAATTACTTGCCAGTTAATAAATTAATACAGTAATACAGTGCAGTAATAAATACCAGTTAACAAAATGAAGCTATAAGATGCACTTAGCTGTTATTATACATGTTGATGAAAGTGTATAAAATGCCCACTAAAACTGTTCACTATTATCCTGCCCCACCTACCCATTTGTTAACCACTGGTATCAAACAAAATACAGTATTTTGATCTTGGTCAAATACAAATAATAGACTTAGGATATGAAGTACCTAACAGATTTTTGGAGTCACCTTGTCAAACAATGCTTCCCAACACTCACCTCCTGAACTTGGTACAGATAGGACATCTTGGCACGAAAGAAGAGGGTTTGGATCACATATGGGTTTGGAATTATCTGAAAAAATATAATTAAATTACATTAATAAATTATTAGTGATAACTACAATAATAATTATTAGCCGAAACCTTTAGTTATTCAAGAAAAGCATACCATCTTCTTCCCTAAGTTACATATATGTAACTTATAAACAATCAAATGTTTGAGTGCAACTAAGAACTCTTCCTTTTTATAACACTGAGGTGGCAAATGTATCAATTATACTGAACATAGCTAAGACAGCTTCGTGGTCAATATTTAACACGATTAAACTTTGGCCTATATTTATATTTTTCATTAAAATTTTAATGAATTAACCATTGATACTCAAACACTAGTCTTAATTAAAATACAGTTCCAAACTCTTCCGCTAACAGTTCCTAAATTATGTCAATGACCTACCCGAGGGACAGAGCTCATATGTCAATGTTTGCAGAAAATGCAAAGCTAATGAGAAATGTAAAAGCTGATGAAAACATTAGCAAGTTACAAGACCTTTACAAAGTCCTAGAGGAGAAGAAAAATGGTTGCTACAATTCAATACATGCAAATTTAAGATAATGAAGATGAGAAAGGGAGACAATGGACCAGGAGATATCTACACTACAAGATAAAGACAACTACAGGAATATTTGAAAAAGTACTGTATTGTACTGAGGTTTGCAACAAGATTAGTTAGTGCAGAGCTGAAAGGGGTTAGCCCTTTTAAGGACCAGGTCCCAAATTTGCACAGTAGAATAACATACTGGAGCGAAAGGTACAGAAGGAAATGCAGAATAGAACCAGTGAGAAGTAGAGGTGCCATAGGCACAATCGGAGAGCAATGTCTTAACACCAGGGAGGGGTCCACGGCTGTTCAACACCCTACCAACAAGCATTACAAATATTGGTGGAAAGGTGGATGTATTCAAGAGGCACTTGGACAGGTTCTTGCAAGAAGTGCCGGACCAACCATGCTGAAGTGAACATGTGGGCCTGCAGGATGCTCCAGGCAATAGCCTATTGGACCAAGTTATCACAAGACGAGCCTGGCCTCAGACCAGGCTCAGGGAGTAGAAGAACTCACGAAACCCTCTTCAGGTATGCTCCAGGTTAAGGTATGAGGATAGGCTAAGGGGCCATGTTTTCAACAGGTTTTGAGATGGGCCTGCAGGCCACTCCAAGCAACATCCTGTTGGGCCAAGCTCTCACAAGTCAAGCCTGGTCCGAGGCCAGACTTGGGGAGTAAAGAACTTCCAGAACCCCATCAACCAGGTATACAAGTTATATATACACATGTACAGTATATGCACACACACATACATATTTTACTTTTATACTTTTATACTTTACTTTTATATAGTGGCACCTCGGAATACGAGTGTCCCTGTATACGAGTTTTTCGGAATACGAGCAGGATTTCCTCGGAAAATGTGCCTCGGAAGGTGAGGGTTACCTCAGAATCCGAGTTTGTTGATACGCGTACAGGCCGAACTAGCACGTGGTGGTACGGCGATCGTCGCCCCTCACCCCTCAGTTTACCAGTGCTTCACGCCCAGTGACTATCCCACGTCAATTCTTCACCCGGATTTTCAGTGTTTTGTTGGATTTTTGGTCATTTGACCATAAGAGTTGTTATTATATATCTCACCATGGGTCCCAAGGAAGCCAGTTGTAGGGATCAAGGCAAGAGAGCACATGTGAGGATGACAATAGAGGAAAAACAAGAGATCATTCGGAAGCATGAAAATGGTACGTGTGTTGTTGAACTTTGTAGGCAGTACAACAAAGCCACGTCAACGATATGCACTATACTTAGCAAGAAAAAAGGACATTATGAGTGCTAAAGTGGCAAAAGGCGTAAGAACAATCACGAAACAAAGACCACAAATACTTGAAAAAGTTGAAAAGTTGTTATTAATTTGGATACACAACAAGGAGTTAGCGGGTGATAAGTGTTTCAGGGGCCATCATTTGTGAGAAAGTCAGGGTATTGCACGAAGACCTTGTAAAGAAAACCCCAGGAACGAGTGCAGATACGATAGACTTTAAGGCAAGCAGGGGATGTTTTGAAAAATTTAGAAAAAGAAGTGGTATCCATAGTGTCATTGTGTCATAGTGTCATCCATATCCACCACACCTCTCCTCCTCCCCCCTCCTCACCATCTTCCATATGCCTACAGCATTCATCAACAAGGGTAAGTAATAACTTGAACATAGTTTTGTAGGTTTATTTAGATGAATTAGGTATAAAATTTAGTTTGAAGTGAGGTTTTTGGGGTAGTCAGGAACGGATAAATTCATTTCCCATTATTTCTTATGGGGAAATTATCTTCGGATTACGAGTTTTTGGAATACGAGCTGTCTCCAGGAACGGATTAAACTCTTAAACCGAGGTACCACTATATGTGTATGTGTGTTTATGTATTTTATTTATATATATATATATATATATAATATATATATATATATATATATATATATATATATATATATATATATATATATATATATATATATATATATATATATATAAATAATTACACACACACACAATGTATATAATTCTGGCACGAATTCTCAATATTTCTTGTGTTTCTTCACTGAAGCAGGAAGTTGAAAAATTAACTCTCCAAAGATTATTTTTACTTTTTATTAGGCCTGACATCTAGCAATGCATTTCACAAGGTGACTCCTCACATTCTCAGATAAATTCTATCATTCTTAGCACTGGGATATATCCTTTTATGGTGAGGTTGTCAGGTAACATATTGATGAATGGCATTACATTGGGGATATTGATAAAGTATTAAATGTATCAGCACAGTATGACATGTTGGCAGCTTATGTTCTTCCTGGTTGCTTCCATTCCTGATGCAGGGTCATTCGGTCCTGCTTCTGCATTGGCCCGGGGTCTTGAAGTACATAGGGGGTAACTGTGTATTAGCTGGTTGTTGATTGCTGATCTAAATTTCTTGATATGCAGTGCCTCACTGATGTCTAATTTTCTATTGTCATTGTATCTATCAATGATTTTGGGGTTGCTCGTCAAAATATCCCTGGTGATCGTCTCGTGTGTGGTGATTATATGTTCCTTGATGGAGCCCTGTTGCTTTTGCATTGTTAATCGCCTAGAGAGGGATGTTGTCTTGCCTATATACTGAGATCGTTGAGGCTGACAGTCCCCCAAGTGGGCATGCGAAAGCGTAGACATTGTTGGTTTCTTTCAAGGCATTTTGCTTGGTGTTGGGCACATTCTTCATTAGAGGATTGAGCAGTTTCCTTGCTCTTATAATATATTGTTAGTTTAATCTTTTAGATGGTTACCTAACCACCTCACCATAAGATCTTAGGATATAACACGGTGCCAAGCACAGTAAAATCTGTTTTTGAGAATGTGAGGAGCGACCTTGCGAAATGTAATTATATATATGAAATATAAACATACAGGTATAGACATACAACACACCTAAATATGGCTTTTGACGGAGTTCCATGTAAGAGGTTGTTCTATAAACTGGGACACATTGGAGAGGTGAAAGGTAAGCTTCTAACACGGATGAAAAATTTTCCGACTGATAGAAAAATGAGGGCAGGAATAAGAGGAATATCGGACTAGAGAAATGTCACAAATGGAGTACCACAGGGTTCAGTTCTTGCATCGGTAATGTTCATTGTCTACATAAATGATCTACCAAATGGAATACAGAATTATGTGAGCATGTTTGCTAATGATGCTAATAGGGAAGATGAGTAACTTAGATGATTGTCATACCCTTCAAGAAGACCTGGGACAGAATAAGTATATGGAGCACCACTTGGCAAATGGAATTTAATGTAAATAAATGCCATTTTCTGGAATGTGAAATAGGGGAATATATACCCCCACACAACCTATAAATTATGTGAGAAATCTTTAAAGAATTCCGATAAAGAAAGAGAACTATGGGTGGTAATAGATAGAAAACTATCACCTGAGGACCACATTAAAAACATTGAGCGAGGAGCCTATGCTACACTTTCTAACATCAGAATTGCTTTTAAATACATGGATGGCGAAATGCTAAAGAAATTATTCTCGACTTTTGTTAGCCCAAAGCCCAAAGCTGGAATATGCAGTTGTATGGTGCCCATAATACACCTATATCTAAGAATCACATCAACAAACTGGAAAGGGTGCAAAGACATACTACTAAGTGGCTTCCAGAACTGAAGGACAAGAGCTACGAGGAGAGGTTAGAGGCATGAAATATGCCAAAACTAGAAGATAGAAGAAAAAGAGGCGATATGATCACCACGTACAAAATAGTAACAGGAACTGATAAAATTGATAGGGAAGACCTGGAACTTCAAGAACAAGAGGTCATCGATTTAAAGTAACTAAACAAAGTTGCCAAAGAAATAAGAAAATTCACTTTCACAAATAGTGGTAGACGGTTGGAACAAGTTATGCGAGAAGGTGGGAGGCCAAAACCGTCAGTAATTTCAAAGCGTTATATGAAAGTGTGCTGGGAAGACGACTAGCTAGCTTTACTTTCCTTCTGCTTTGCTATTCAACTTCCAAAGCAAATTGGTTAAATTACTTTGAAATATTAGCACACCTATTCTACAGTTCTAAGAAACCAGTGGTGGTGTTTTTACAACTCTCAAAACTTGGCACATAGCTAGATAACACACACATGACAAGAGTTGGCATTTGCATGGTTCCACTTTGAAATTGTGACATGGGTACGTAATGACATGTTTTCTGTACACTAAACTTCAGCCTTATAGTTAATACAAGTGTACCCAAAAAAAACACAAATATGGTAAATACAGGTATTACACATCTGCAGAGATGCACTGCAAATGTTTAATAAGGATAACTTAATAGCCAGGGATAGGGGGGATGGGTGAAACCTAATCAAAACAGCATGACATGGGGAGTGAAAACCTAATTCAAACAGAGGATGTGGGGTGAAAATGTCATTAAAATAGCAGGGGTTTGTGGGGTAAAAATGTAATTAAAGTAGCAGGGGATCAGAGAGCTGGAGGGGGTTAAAAACCTAATTAAAATAGCAGGGGGATGGAGGAGTGAAAACAATTAAAATGGTATGTGAAGGGGTGAAAACTTAATTAAAATAGTAGTGGGTATTCAAAAGTGACTATGACACCGAATAGTAACCCAAAATTAAAAAAAAAATTGAAGCCATAGAGTAACCCCTACCATGGATACGTAATAAATAACGAATAATAAAAAATTACCTCAATCAAAAGATAAAAAATTATTATTGTACAGTACCCATAACTGCTATTAGAGAGCAGTTTCCATAAATCAAGTCATACTTCAAATTTCTCCACCTAATAAGTACAGTACAATGTTCATCTTTGTCACATACGAGCATGTGGTTTTTATCACTGGATACGTGAGCAACAATTCATAAACTAAACCAAGGGGCCTACAATTTTTCACCATGATTTACAGACAATAAGCAACTGTAACTCTTCACTACCTTTGATAAGCAGCAAGAATCCCTATTCAGCATAAAGAACTTTTAAAGATTAATTTTGTCCATCTGGACATGGTTTTAATAATTAATAATAGTGCATGAAATATATTTGTCAAGCTTCAATAACAAAAGAGAAGCAAGTTATGAAAGTTACCATTATTCCTCTGGCTTGATATACGAGTAAATTTTAGGTTACCCTGAATATATTCATTCCATGTTTCAAGTTCATCTGGCCAACAGTTTTCAGGGTGAAAGTTGACAACTCCAAACAGCAATGGTTCATAAACTTCAAAGATTCTGGAAAATGTCAGTAAGATTACATAAACAAATTTGAATGGGATGACAACACATACCAAATTTAAAGCTAACTTTAATTACTGTATACTGAACTGTTTGTTCTTTAATTAAAAAAACTAACACTACTCATCCTAGGAATTACTTTACAATTACTGTATATCACATTTGCCAATTATAACTCCCATAAATGCCAAAAATTTCACCCAAAAGTTTTCAGTCTACACATGCAAAAATGAACACACTGTTACCAAGAAAAAATAAATGCTCAATCATGGCTAGTTAGGAAAACAAGAAACTAAGACTACTTTATGTTTAGACTAGCAGGCTACATTAATGAGGAAAAACGTGCAGCATGAAGTGAATACAGCAGGAAAGGGGAACGTTTTTCAGAGCATATGATAAAATGGTGATAATTTCCTAAAACGTTCTCTTGAGTATCAATGAAGCAAAAATGCCTGAAAACATTATTAAAGAACTTTGTTTAAGAGACGAATAACTGTATGCACGACAGCAAAATAGTTACGCGAATTATGTTCAACACATGTGCCATTGGTTCTCACCCCCAGACTAGCAAAACGTCTCCAGTATCCAGACACTAACGTAATTGAAGTTTTAATTGGACTAAAATAAAGTTTTAATATAATGAGAAGAATTTTTTTGGTGGGTGTGTCAGCAGGGAGCTGAAGTCCTGATATAGCCAGGTATTGGTATGTATTATAATTTATATTATATAACCCACAACAACCGTTGTCAACACCAGACTGGTGTTGACAACGGCTTTAACATGCCGAAACGTTCATCTCTCTTCCCCATTTCTTTGTGGTTTTTCCGCATACAAATGATCAGTGTTTAGTGATTGTCAATTGCATGCATATTATATTATATATATATATATATATATATATATATATATATATATATATATATATATATACATACATTATATATATATATATATAATTTATATATGTCGCACCTAGTAGGCAGAACGCACTTCTCAGCCTACTATACAAGGCCCGATTTGCCTAATAAGCCAAGGTTTCATGAATTAATTGGTTTTCGACAACCTAACGTACCTAACCTAACCTAACTTTTTCGGCTACCTAACCTAACCTAATCTATAAAGATAGGTTAGGTAGGGTTGGTTAGGTTCGGTCATATATCTACGTTAATTTTAACTCCAATAAAAAAAAATTGACCACATACATAATGAAATTGGTAGCTTTATCATTTCATAAGAAAAAAATTATAGAAAATATATTAATTCAGGAAAACTTGGCTTATTAGGCAAATCGGGCCTTGCATAGTAGGCTGAGAAGTGCGTTCTGGCTACTAGGTACGACATATATATATATATATATATATATATATATACAATATATATATATATATACATTATATATATATACATTATATATATATATATATATACATTATATATATATATATATATATATATACATATATATATATATATATATATATATATATGTCGTACCTAGTAGCCAGAACGCACTTATCAGCCTACTATGCAAGGCCCGATTTGCCTAATAAGCCAAGTTTTCATGAATTAATTGTTTTTCGACTACCTAACCTACCTAACCTAACCTAACTTTTTCTGCTACCTAACCTATAAAGATAGGTTAGGTTAGGTTAGGTAGGTTTGATTAGGTTCGGTCATATATCTACGTTAATTTTAACTCCAATAAAAAAAAACTGAGCTCATACATATTGAAATGGCTAGCTTTATCAATTTATAAGAAAAAAATTAGAGAAAATATATTATTTCAGGAAAACTTGGCTTATTAGGCAAATTGGGCCTTGCATAGTAGGCCAAAAAGTGCGTTCTGGCTACTAGGTACGACATATGTATATATATATATATATATATATGTATATATATATATATATATATATATATATATATATATATATATGTATATATATATATATGTATATATATATATATATATATGTCGTACCTAGTAGCCAGAACTCACTTCTCAGCCTACTATGCAAGGCCCGATTTGCCTAATAAGCCTAGTTTTCATGAATTAATGTTTTTTCGACAACCTAACCTACCTAACCTAACGTTTTTGGCTACCTAACCTAACCTAACCTATAAAGATAGATTAGGTTAGGTTAGGTAGGTTATATATATATATATATATATACATATATATATATACATATGTCGTACCTAGTAGCCAGAACGCACTTCTCAGCCTACTATGCAAGGCCCGATTTGCCTAATAAGTCAAGTTTTACTGAATTAATATATTTTCTCTAATTTTTTTCTTACGAAATGATAAAGCTACCCATTTCATTATGTATGAGGTCAATTTTTTCTTATTGAAGGTAAAATTAAACGTAGATATATGACCGAACCTAACCAACCCTACCTAACCTAACCTATCTTTATAGGTTAGGTTAGGTTGCCGAGAAAGTTAGGTTAGGTTAGGTTAGGTCGTCGAAAAAACATTATTTCATGAAAACTTGACTTATTAGGCAAATCGGGCCTTGCATAGTAGGCTGAGAAGTGTGTTCTGGCTACTAGGTACGACATATGTATATATATATATATGTATATATACATACAGTATATATATATATATATATATATATATATATATATATATATATATATATATATATATATATATATACATACATATATACACATACATACAATTATATATATATATATATATATATATATATATATATATATATATATATATATATATATATATATATATATATATATATATATATATATATATATATATATATATATATTATATATATATGTCGTACCTAGTAGCCAGAACGCACTTCTCCGCCTACTATTCAAGGCCCGATTTGCCTAATAAGCCAAGTTTTCCTGAATTAATATATTTTCTCTAATTTTTTTCTTATGAAATGATAAAGCTACCCATTTCATTATGTATGAGGTCAATTTTTCTTTATTGGAGTTAAAATTACCTAACCTAACCTAACCTAACCTAACTTTTTCGGCTACCTAACCTAACCTAACCTATAAAGATAGGTTAGGTTAGGTAGGGTTGGTTAGGTTCGGTCATATATCTACATTGATTTTAACTGCAATAAATAAAAATTGACCTCATACATAATGAAATGGGTAGCTTTATCATTTCATAAGAAAAAAAATTGAGAAAATATATTAATTCATGAAAACTTGG